TAAGTTGTTCTGCATTTTTTTTTCTCATTCAATATCTACAACTTTGCTGAAGACACAAAAGCAATATTCCTTACGGTTTACCGAGATATAGCCTTGTGAAAATATCGAAAAAGTGCTCAAAATCCAGTTTGAGCCAGAAATACATAATTTCATAAAATGAAAAAGGTAGCCAAGTTGGTGGAAACGAATGATGCAGAATTTCTAGTTTTGGTAAGTACTTTCAGGATCGATTAGTTAAAGTGAGTCCCTCATCCATGACCGAAAAAATGTTGCACAGTGTAATTATCAATTCATTCGCATCGATTTCATTCGCTTTTAATTCTTTCCATTTGTTTCTATTCGGATGCAATCGATTCAAGGAAACTTTGCAAACATAGTATCCATTTTGTTTGATGATCGATTTTATATATAGATTCAACACTTCAATGCTATGTTGCACAAGCGTAAGCCAAATCATTGAAAAAATATAACTGAATTGATTTAACATAGCTGGGAAAGTAAAAATTAGCTCTAAATAGAGAACTAGCATGTCTTTTTTTGAACAAAATGTAGCAAGTCTGAGGTAGCCATACAGAAAACTCCCCTGAACCAAAATATAAGGAAATACACAGTTTTTCTTCAATCTTCTATCATTAAATTGCATTTTCAAGTGATATTTGAATTGAGAATTAAGTGTTCCGAATAAATAAAGCAATTTGATCGTTTCATCACGCTTCAAAAACAGTTCAACTATGAAAACAATTCCTTGCAATTGATTCAAAAACACTAAAACGATGTAGAGATTGTCTCTGATTTTTGAATCGGACCAAATGATGAAATCTTAACTGAAAATAATGAAAAAGACTAGGCAACTTCCACTTATGATGATATAAAGTATTGTCAATGCTTTTAGAAGGCAACTCGATTCCCATTTTAGTGTATTTTCATTATTGAAGCGATATGAAGTTAGGCCAAACAGCTGGCTAACACGAAACACTAACTTTATCGAATCATACACAAACATTTCTACTGCGTCTTAGCCAATTTGATATTACTGTTCTACTGATGGCTCACCATTTTCGTCTGAACACATTCCAGCAATACTTTTGCTATTCCGTCCATTTATCTAATTCACACTTAGATAAACGCATACTTGCATAATAAACTAATTTCTGCAAGGTTTTACAATTTAATGTCCAAGAGCATAATATATTCTATTTTTGGTCTGCACGAAAAATACATAAAATGCCTTGGGGAATATCACACTTAGATTATTTCCAATATTTCAACAAAATTCAATATATCTCTAAGAATCTGTCGTATTAAATATGGTGGATATTTGTGATTATGAATGATATTTACTTGGATTTAATGCCAAAAATCTCAAATATCTCCAAAATCCACAAAAATCTGATTTATTCATTCGAAATATTCGAAAAAATATCATACAATTGATGTTCATTTCGAATATCTCAAATATCTCCCAAGATTCAGGAGCGTGATATTCCCCTAGTAAAATACAGTACTCCAACAATTCCATAAACGTATTTTATTACTTTAATTGTCTAATAAACTACATTTTTCATCGAATTTTCTTGATATTTTTCAAAATCACATTGAAAATTGGATTAAAATCACCAAATAAGAAGTGGTCGCTCCAATCACTGAAAATGCCAGAGTGTTATCCAATTTTAGAAATCCGAAGAGAGTAAATGATACATTCTGATGGTACATCTGTAAAATTAGATGTTCCATCTGTAAACAAATTTACATGATTTACTCAGATATTACAATTTGTGCAATTATTTACCATAATTTTTGTGCGAGTTTCAGGTGAGTTCATGGGGATTCGATGGATGGTCATAGCAAATACTTCCACCTTAATGAAAAATGGAAAAATGACAAAGTGATTCAATTTTCTGTGTGACTTTCTAGCTTTACTTTGTGCATTACTGATTCAAGTATAGACAGTGTAAATCGTGAACCGTTTAAAAAAATTACCGCATTAACTACATTTTCGCATGTGGATGTGATGTAAATAATATTGAATAAGTTCATGATCGTCCACGACACAACGGACAAAACGGTGTAAACACCAGCTTCGGGCGGTTTTTGAAACAATTGAATGAAGAAAAAGCAGTTGAATACCAGAACCGAAAATTCGTTGAGAAATCCAATTGATAGCGACCAATAGAAAGAGTTATTGAGTAAAGTTGCGGCTTTCCAAATCAACAGTTGGCATTTTTGCAGAAATTCGATTGTAGTCAAACTGACTTCGTGTCTGCGGGATCTTCTATATGACCATCCTAAAACCTCAAACTGTTTGGACTTGTGCGGATCAACACTCAACGATGTCGTGAATTTGGTCAATGCGTTTACATTTTTGCTTAGCATATTTACTAAAACCATTGAATAGATGTAGCTTAGTTTGCTCAAAAGTGACGGCAAAGCATAAGATACAAAAAAATAGAAATCATTAACGTCTCTGGTTTTTACCAGTACTAAAACATTTAATCCACTCAGAGCAAATGTCCCCAGCGTCCAAAATAGAATGGAACGATGTAAAAACCGACTCATGCCAACGAAATCCAACTCTATTCCTTGATTCCCTTTCAAAATCAATTCCAAATTCACAAAAAGATTGAACAATTTTACATGTTGATTGCGTTTGTGGAAATTTTCAGCCAAAACCACAATAGCATGCACACAAATTATTATAATCGAATACGTATAAATCGCAACAATCAAACCCGATTCATTGTGGTCGATTAAAATTCCATTGAATATCAAACACAACGAAAAATTCAACCCCATAATGAAAAGAAAAGCTATCGATACTATTTCGTTTGTTCGATTTCGTTTCCATTTGATACTGTTTTTAGATCGTGAAAATGGTGCCAATCCCAATATCTGGGAGAGTTTTATCAACGTCTTTATAGAGTCGAGTAACAGCATTGTTTTTAGTTTTTTCAATTCCCATCAAACACTGCGAGCAGGTGAATAAATTGTGTTGCTAATAAGCATTGTGCTACTGATGCGCTTCCCCATAGCCACTGTACTAGTAGAAAATCAATGCTATTATAATTGTTTTATAATATCATTCAGAATTATGGATTTCATTGTGATTTACGTTCTAGATTATGTTTGAAGGTCAATGCCAATGAATTTAATACCTGCTAGCAACGAACGAGTGTGCCGCGGTAGTCACAACCGTAAGCAGTATACACTGTGACCGATATAGGAGTTCGTGTGTTATTTTTAGTTCAACTTCTTACTATAGGCGGCGCTGGTGTCAAGTGTCAAAAAATTATTCGTCCGGCTAACAGGCATTTAAGGAATTAGTCTAGCCGATCGCGTGAGATTTAAAGATTTCAAAACAAACTATTTCCAGCGAAAAATGAAACGACAGGGATATTAAAGTGACTTATCATTATACAATACAGTTTTTATTTTAAAAAAATCATTCTAGTTCAAATCAATACATATAGGATATAAGTTAAATTAGTAAAGTTTATTACTAAGCTGGAACTTTATTCTGTTGCTTCATAAAGGAGATTGCAAATTGAATCAAAAATATGAGATAGGTAATGATGGCTCCCGTGATCTATCAAGATTGAAAAAATGTCCAATTATTGTTTAAAACACCGGAAACAAATTATAAACTCACCATTAAAATCATGGAGAAATCGACTGAAAATAAGCCAAATGCCGTGAAATTGACTTTTTGATGTATGCACTGCGATGAAAACTGCAAAATCTGTACAAAAAAGTTGAAATATAAGATAAATGTTTGCTTATTAAATGCGTTAAAATGGGTTACCATTTCACAAAATATTTCATCACAACCGTTCAAATTGATCTTATGAAGTAGAGCTGGTGTCATTAGAGCCTAGAAGTTGAATCAGTTATAAATTATCAAGTTCAGTCTTTAATTTGCATGCTTGTCTTGAAGAAAATATTCTTGTGCTCTTACCTCTCTATTGGTAGAATGGCAAGCATGTGAAAGAAGAATCAAATGGGTGATATTAACGCCGCCCCAAAACAGTCCAATAACAAGGTCTTTCCATTTCAAGTGAAATAGCAAAACACCAAATACTAAATACGAATTCACCAGCAATCGATGAAAATCAATTCCGATGCACAGAGGAAGTGACCACCAGAACATGTCGTTAATTATGTTTGTTGTTTCATACATTATCTGATAAATATTGCGGATATCCATCAATTGTGACTTTGAAATTAATTGTTCAACCGGACAGTCGGCAAATGCGACTTTGGACATCTGTTTAAATGCCTGCAGTATTTCATTGTTTACAACTCCACGGTCTTGGAAAAGGCAAACCTTTTCGATGAATTGATTGAGCATTTGATATCGCAGCCGAATGGCGTGCACATACAATACCAACCGCTGGTAGTGTAATGAATAAATCAGAAAAGGAAAGGCGTATAGCACCCAAAAAGATTCACTGAATGCGTCCTCGATGACATGATAAACAACAAACACGCAAATTGCACACGAAAAACAAATGAAAATCCAAATCGTTGTCAAAATATTGCACTGAAACTGATGCTTTTCATAATCGACTTGAATTCGCAATTTATGACGCAGAATCAAATCAATGCGATTGATTCGCTGCAAGAACTCAATTTGCTTGTGCAGCTTGAAAATCGCCTCGCCTACGATGACAGCAGACAAAAGTCGAATGGTTATCATAGCCATCAGAGTATCATAATTTCCAATTGGTAGATCGGCCCAGTCGAGATACGATGATGAGAAGACGACACTCAAAATCAATGAAACAGTATGTAAGAGCAACCATACGACTGCGTAGAATTGCAGTTTTGCATCTTTCACTGGTAATAGAGTTTTATTTGTTACCCCAAATGGAGCCATTGCAAAAATTTGCCATACTCGCAGTGGCCACTGTAGCGTTGTTAGAAACTTCATTTTTTACGTCTTGATTGTTACGGTGCAATTTTCGAACTACGGTTTCATTTCATTGCATGTTTGTTTGTTGATTCCATTTTATGATCTTTTTCCTATTTCCGCTACGGTCATATTTTCATCTAGTAAAAACGTAATTAGCTAAATATTTCGATACTCAACTAATGGTATTTTCTTGTCAAACCAATTGCGTATAATTTTTTTTTATTTGGATCGTGGCATTGCCTCAAGGTCATGGCACATGATATTATCAGGGCGAATTATTCCTCGTAACTCAATCAAGTGAAAAACAATTTATTCTTGACATTGAATAATGAAATTTTTTAGAAATGCACATGAAATTGACCTCGAGAAGAAATTAAAGTTTTACAAAGATTATTTATTTAAGAATTTTTATTTTTTTGATAAGCCACGTTAATATGTAAATCTCAGAAATGTCGGAAACAAAACATAATCTCTCTTTTGACGCAATAAATCAAAAGAAAAATGCGCTGCTCACAACCTTGCAATGATAGATAAATAAACATAATTTAAGATTTGACAGACAACTGGATGAGAACAATTAAGTAGATTGTAGCCGAACCAATTATGATTAGAAGAAGGTTGTTGTCAATAGTGAAAAGTCCAAAGAAGGAAAAACGAACTTTAGATAGCATGAGCTCTAACGAGAATTTTCGAATCTGTGTGTGGCAAAGGGAGAGAGACGAATTATTATGATTATTATTCAATTATTTGAATTTATTCTTTTTCCAATTTGTTAAAAACAAACCATGCAGTCGAGTTCGGGACTTGTATTGGCCAGATCAATTGATTGTACAAGCGCTGAAAATTTGATACCCTGAAATTCAAAAGGAAAAATAGCTCGATCACAATTTTTGTAGGAATCACAGTTTTTCCAATCAATGCGGAAGCAATTACCTCATAGCATGCAAAATGGCATGCCTTCGATACCAAAATGAGCATTGCGATATTGAAAAATCCCCACGACATTACACCAATTAACTGCAGTTTCGAGTCAACATCAATGATATTAAGGATCAGCCAATAGAAGTTGATTAAAACATTGAGGAAATCGTTCGCTACGTTGAGAAGCATCGACCAACTAAACAGATGGCGCAGAGTTTTATTGGCTTCAACCATCAAACGTTGTGTACGTTGAAGATGTTTCAGTTTATTCATCACAATCAAAGGCTCATGATCTGTTATCCGGTGCCAACTTGGCTTCCAATTCTGCGCTGAATACCTTTTCGCGGGTTTTTCTAGGTACTTGGAATCTTCATGTTTGTGCAAGGTCAAATGACTAACGTATTCATTGATTGCTACATAACGGTCGCGGAGTAAATTAACGTAGGCAACGAATTGCTGATACCGCATCATGCATATGAACAAAGGAATAGTGTAAAGAGCCCAGTAAACTTTGAATACCGACATATCAGCGATAATTGTTGTGAATATCATACAGGTTTCTAGGAGCAGAAATAATCCGATCCATGCGATCAACTTCAAAAAATTTCTTCTATGTTGATTTTTATATGTCAAATAAATCAACAAATTCGTATTTAAAATAGCGTCGATTTGGTCAATTTTTTCCAAAAATGCAATTTGATGTGAGCGCTTCATCCACGATTCCAGAACAATCGACACGGATGTGCAACGAATTAGCGTCATTGACAAAATATCGCCAGCCGACATAACAAACGTACGATCCACGTAGGTGACATAGTGTTCAAAGTGAAACAAACCAAACAAAATGACTACACTCTGTATGATGACTGAAGCTATTGAAATGAAACTGTGAAGATTGCTCATCATTGGTCGCAAAGATACTCTCGCCAATATAAATGGACTCAATGAAAAGAATTGCCAAATGAAAATAGCGGGAAAAAGTGTTCTAAGAAACTGCATTCTAATTTACTTTTACCTCCTTCTCAAATGAATAGCTTCGGAGCAATGATGAGCCAATTCACAGATACGATTTTGACATTCGTTTTACAACGTACATAAAGCAAAGATATTTCAATTTCAAATGCACGCTACATGGCACAACCAACCAGTAATTAGTTCTTAGGCGATGTTCGTGTACAAAAGCAAATCATGCGATGACTTTGAAAGTATAAATTTGATTTCGGTTGCAAATTGCCGAAGCGAAATGCACAGATACACAAGTGAATGGTATTGAATGGTTGATAGACACACTATGGCCCGACCAGACATTATGGCATCGAATTGCCAAAGATAGATTGGTGGTGGTGGTATCCATTAATTGCATTATTTAAGTTTTGTGTTTGATGCGTCTAATCAAATGCTCATCAGTTCGAAAGTTGGGTGTTACAAACAAAATGTTCAATTTGCTCGAAGCAAATAGTTGAAAACCAAAAATATACAACCGAATGACAAGCATGCAAATGAGCAAACAAACACAGCAAAAACACGTTGGCATTTAATTGAATTAATTACTTAATAGGTTTCGAAATTTCAGTTTAAATTCTAACACGCAAATGTTCTTTGGCAATGTGAGTTTTGCATCGTCTCGTACAAAAGTTTGTTGTTTGGCCTTCTGATGTCGAGCCCAGAATGCACGAATAAACGATTACAATGATGAAAGACAAAAAAGTGGAATGCTTAGTTTATGCATCTGAGGAATTGAACCGAGCCAAAGGAATGCGATGAGTTAGCGGCGCCTAATAAAGCGGAATTGAATTTCATTTTAAGCCGGTTTTAAGGACTTTTCATGAGTTCAATGATCGATTGGTCGAAAGAGCACAAATATCCTCGCTTGCACTTGATTAGGTGGATATATCGAGTTTTATTTTGGGTTCAATGAAGCGCAACGATTGAGTGAAAGAGTTGAAGCGCACAGATATACACACACACACACACACACACACACACACACACGTACCCAAACACAGTCGGACGAGTGTATTACCAAGCAAACTGACTTTAAATTAATGTTTACTTACTAAATGCATTGCAACGGTTGTGAATAATAAACTACAATAGAATTGCATTTATGATGCTCTCCCAGAACTTCCATTTAATATGGTTTGCTGCGACGCATTCAAATCTCAACGTGCACATTTTACAGTGCACACGCAATGGTCACACCGATAACATACAACCAGAGCGCCAAGTAGATCTTTAATTGCAGTGTCGTGCAATTTATGTGTGCGTATTGAAATTGAAATTTATGCATGGCAAATATTTAATCTCATACTCCCTAGATCAACAGACAAATACCATTTAGTGTTATACGCAATGCCTTGCGCGTCCACTCGTGCCGGTTCGAATGGGAAGCTCATGTGTTGATAGAGTATATATATTCGTATAAAATATGTTTCACAAATAGAAAATTCAATCGAACGATTCGTTGTAACGTTCTGTGTGTCTTTTGCATGGGCTGCCAAACCCGAAAATACCAGATTTCCAGTGAAACGTCTTTTCCAAAGACTTTCCCTTTGATTTTCTCGCTCCAACCATGAGTTAATTTTGCAAACCAGTAAAAAATATCATTCAAACTTTTATGCAATATTAAAAAATATGGAAATGAAAAAGAATAAATCGGTTACAATGGTATTGCCTTTTCGGAACCGCCAAACCCAAAAAATATTTGTTTCCACAATTGCGAACACACTTATTGACTGTTCTAATTTTCATTGAGTACAGTGTACGTACACACATACCAAGCGGACAGTTCAAATGGTTTGGTTTTTGCGGTTGCAACCCAGTAAAGTTGTGCACACATGATATTGTCAATTGTTTGAGCTTTTGGATGTGTGATTCAAAATCCGAAAATTATGTGCATACGGTGCAACAGACACCAGCACAATTGCAAGCATAAATTTACCTGAAACTGCAGTAGTGCCGAGTACTTCGACAGATGAACTTTCTCACCCTCTCGCTCGCTCTGCCTCTCACTCTCTCTCCCACCACATCGATATTGTTCAGCAGACAATCATGCAAATTGTACACGATTGCACGTTTTCCTGTTTCACCCACACACCCGCATCGAAATTGCGCTCAGTGCAAAACAGTAAATAACACATCATTGATATTACGCACACACAATAAATAAAATCAGAAGCCGCAAATTCAATTAACAGCCGAGATGAGCCAGACGATGGCGGAAAATTGATCAAAAGTTTCAATGCGAAAATGACGGCGCGGCAATTTAAAAGTAATATTTTAATTTTGGTTATACACTATGGTCAGGGCAAACACGCCGATGAATAAATTCATTAAAATGAAATCGTACTCGTTAAAAAAAAGACCGTGTCAGTTCCATAGAATCGTTGAATAAAATAAAGAGAATTAACTAAAAGTGTTTAATTTTGACATTCTTTTGTAGCAATTTGATTTTTTTAGATTTTGTGTAAATTTTCAAATCTCGACTGAGCTGGTTTTTTGCTCATATAACTTTTATTGTCTGATATAATCATTTATACATAAAATGGGTAAATTCATAAATAAGTAATAATAATATCGTATATTTCGCGACTCTCCCCTGAATCTCACCGATAGACATTTTTCTATAAAAACAAGTGGAATGATTATAATTATTATCAATTGCCTTTGCATTGTATGATCACATTGGTGATTATGCAAAAGGGCATGATTCAAATATATCACATTTGGCTTGTTTGGACTTTAATCAAACGAATTATACGAGGATTCTGAAAACATCGCGACAACGGTTTTCGGAAATAACCGAGACCATTTTCAATAAAATATAGAACAAAAAATCGTCACAATTTTCCGTGTGTTGCATAAATATTTGTCGTAACTATTTGAGTAACAAAATTTATGCATCTCGTTCCTTCATTCATTCCATTTGCTAATTTAAAATTCCTCTCCTTTAACATGTATCCATTTTCAAAATGGGCAACTTACTGCGAGCTGTTGAGTATGCTGCTTCTTTGGCCAGTCCCTTTTTTGCATTCATGGGTGTGCACTGCATACACCGTACTTGAGCACGATCAAAATCGCATTCGCATAACAGGTGGTAGCGAATGTATGGATGAAAGAAAAAAACCGTAGATACGCCTGGTTCCAGCAATTTTATTCCGTTTCCCATCCTTCCCTTGGCATGGCTTAAAGGACGTCACTGTGAAGAGAAAAAAAATGTCTGAAGAGACGTGGTAATTAGCTTAAAAATGCATAAAAATATGCTTTACGCCTGAAAATAATGCTAATCGCAGCTGCAATTAGGCTTCGTGTAACTCTCCAGCGCAATGTTTGCGTCTCTGTCGCTCATCGTTCATGTCGCTCGTTTGTTGTGAATCTCATTCAAAAAAATGTAGGTAATGTACAGTATCGCGTTCTCAAAGAACATGAAACAAGAACAAGAAGAAGAAGAGAAAAAAGTGAGGCTTATGTCGGAAAAACCGCAACTAAATGTAATGTGGCGTAGTACTTATCAGATCTTCGGCATCGTTTGTCTGTGAAGGAAAAAATCGTTCCTGAAAATTGTCAAGGGAAAAAATGTGCGTCTGTTTCGAGTTCGTTCAATTACCCAAGATTGTTCTTGATTATGTGCTTATGGTGTTCAAAAAGATGCGAATCCTTTTTCCACCAACGAATATTTTATACGATGCATGTATTACAAAAGATTTTATCGCTGGCTTGGTAACTACCGGTGCATGCAACATATGAAGTAATTTTTTTTTCGTCAGCTCCTGTTATCAGAAGGCAACATCACGGGCCCACAAAGTGAATCCACTACACAAGATTTGAATGAGGCTTTCGGTTAAAATATTCCATCCTCATCCTCGGAAGCTTACAAGTACCGAAGAGAAAATGTTTTTTTCCTACAAAAAAAACGGAAGAGCGAAATTCTGTGTGATATGCGGGTAACATGTCATAGGCGTATACAATTCTTTAAATGTCACATCGTTCGATTAATGGCTTTTTATGCAACTGCATATAACAAAATATTTTACAAGTGCCTCTTGAGAAAGTAAGCTCCCCGCCGGAAGTTTTCCCGTCCTACGCATAAATCAAACATTTGTGCACAAAAATTCTCAACAAATATTTACTCAGTTGGAATACATCATTCCTCATCAGAAACGGCGCGCATGTTTTTGTGCACTCTAAATGTTAGTTTCTCTATTCCGTTGCTTTATCGTTTGGCAATCCAATTAATATGAGCCGTAAGTTTTCCTACGTTTAAATTAATTAAAATCATAGTAACAATTCTATTTGCATTCGCCAGTTGAATGTTTCACGGAATTTCTACTGTTGATTCTGCGGAAATAATGGAAGAGTTCTTCATTTCCATTTACACAGCAAAAGGTATGCGGAGCACAATTTGAAGGCCCAGTTCACTACGTAATTCCGAAGGGCTTGCGATGCCTGAAATACGGCCATATTTCCAT